CTGCAAAACACAATTATCTTAGAAAAAATGTTAGAAACATCAAAATTGATGAGTAACAATGCTCAATAGTGGCACATGAGAAAAACCAAACCCCAAACCAAGCTCATTCTGCTATTTTAGACACTCAGAATATGTGCTCAGTTGTTATTTTGAAAAAATATGAGTCGGCAAATAGCTGAAACATAACTGCCCAATATAGAGGGAAGTGTCAACATCTGAACCTGAAAAAAGAAGTGATACTATTTGAAATGAAAGACACAAGGACAGGGAAAATCTTACACATTTACCTACAATGGCCAGAGGTTTTACAGTTGTAGTTATTCAAGGTAGGTGGGCTAGTTGCTTTGGAACACCACAGGCAACAGTCTCCAGACAATGATAGAATCAAAATCCAACTCAATTTCTTCACTGATGCACATAGCTAGAGGCAGAGTGTGAAACATGAGGCCTTGGGTTTCAGGTAGCTCTGAAGGATTTACAGATTACAAATCTGTCTGTTCATTGCCGTTTTAGACCATAATATGAGCAAAACGTATCTCAAACTAAAAATGGGAGTGAATGGAAACCTAACCAAAAGGCACTGAGATGTGTCAATAATTGGTGCCCTCAGAAACTTAATACTATTGAACATTAATAGTTTAGATATTCCATTGACTGCAGTGAAGAACTGGAACTGGGATGCTGCTACAGTTGACAATGAAGCTGTTTTCTGTAAGCAGATCCTAGCCACATACATCTCATATTGCAAATTTAGGTTTGTTCCCACCTAAAGAAATACCCATTGCCCTATGTAATATATTGTTAATATTTTTAAATATGTGAGGAAATCTGGTTTTAATATCTCTTAAGGTTTTCCAGCAACATTTTCTCTTTTCCTGTATTCTTTCCTTAAGGATATTCGTGACCACCAATTCCAAAAAAGAATGCAGTGACTGCTATAGGGTTCAGAAATGCAGTGTACTGCCAGTTCCAAATTCTGCATCTCATGTTTTGTGCTGACTTTAACAGTTTTGTTTTTTTCCCCATTGCTATTTTTTCCAACAATAAACTTGTGTGTTTGATTTTAAAAAATAAACCACATGAGTAATTTCAAAGTTTAGGATTCCATCTTTGATCAAAACCAGCCAGCAACTGCAGTGATTCATCATGACAGCTAAGAGTAAAGCAATAAAAAACCCTCCTTTTATTTCATTGAAAGGTTAAAAAACTGCTGCTGTAACTTTCAGTATTGTCTCTTTTCCTTCCAATGCCTGAACAAACCAGAAAGAGCTTTACATTCCTGAATGTGGATGTGCTTTTAGACTCACAGAAATAATATTTTCATTGGTGTTTTAAGAATGAATGAAGTAACAGATCCAACTTCAACACAGCCTTTCTCTAAACCACAGAGTAAACCAGGAGGCAGAAGGAAATGTCAATGATAACCTGAGAGAAAGCTATTAAAAATAAGGATGACTGTGGAATGTGTAAAGCCACAGAATGTACTCTTCTTGATGCCAGGTGAGACAGAGCACAGAGGTTTGGGGTTCCCCCCAGTCTAAGAAGAAAATGGATGTACTGCACACTAAGGTCTGTGTGCACGTGGCTACTGCTCACCTGTGGCACCACAAGTACCACGAAGGGTCTCAGGACACTAAAGCTAACAAAAGGAGAGTCCTGTATATGCAGTGGCACCTACTGTGCTACTAACCTGACTGCAGCATGAAAAGGCAGAATATTGCAGAATAACAAAGGGAGGAGAGGTAATATCAGGTTTTCCCCTCATGCTCAAAGGAAAAATGACAGGACAACCAGATTATAATTACTAAATAAAGGTATAAAGTCTGCAAAACTGGGAAGTTATAAACCTTGGCATGCTGTGTGTTTTGAAATGGCCCAGAAAACAACTTGTGAGGGCAAAAGAGGAAGAAAAGGAATAAGGGAATATAAGGTAAAGCAAATGATGTGATCTGGGCAGGCAGGAGAAGTTGTATAAACTCTGGCCATGATGCCTTTCAAAACCCACAAACAAAACCATGTTCTGAAATCAATCTTCACCCTGCTTTGAGCAGCAGGTTGGACTCGATGACCTGCATGACCTCCTGAGCACACTCAGACCATAAGTTCTGAAGGTGATTTAAGCCATACTGCAAGTTATCAGCAGCTCTGTAAAGCGAATGCTTTCTTTCCTCCACTCCAATAAGGTGGGTGAAACTGGCTCAGTGAAGGCTATTCCTGCTTGGGTCCTGTGTTCTGTTTGCCATTATGTAGCTAAAATTTTTGTAAAAGGTGTGATGTAGAACTGAGGTTTCATAGTCTCTATATGCTGTGATCATAAAAAGTTACCTCAGCTCATATACCAGATTTCAAGTTTCTGCTCTTCAACTGACCAATCCCAGGCTTGACTTTAACTTTGCTTAAGAATTATTATTTTATTGTTACTAAGACATCCTCCTTACATCCTCTCAGCCTGCTGGCCTTGAGGGCTAAGGTGTTACACTTCAGGCATTTTGAAGATGTTTAAGAAACAGATGTTCCTTCTCTGTTTCAGCATGCTCCATGTATTTAAATGGCCTTTCAGACAGAACCTGAAAATCCACGAGCCCTTTTTGGCATCATAAATTCTGTTATATTGACTCATACATTCATTTATCTGAGATTTAGAACTGAGCCACAGAAGTGAATGTAAGTTTTTCCTCCCACTATTAACTCCTATAGAAAGAAGCAAAATTGATAAAAAGGAAAATAACAATAGTACTATTGTACACTAATATTTCTTGCTGTGAAAAGAAAAGAGGCTACTGATGCCCTCAGGAAAGCCAGAAAAATTACACTTTGATCTTGTGGAGAAACAATGTAGAAAGCTATGCTTGGAGGATGAAGAAAAAACAGTGGTAAAAAAAGATGGTTGTCACACTTCAGAAGTTAATTCCATAAGAACACAAAATATTATTCTCTAGTTGACAAACATTCTTGTTTTCCTTTATAGTTTCGGGGCAGATATCACAAGTAAACAAGTTTTATCTGTTATTGTTGTCTGAGGCAATGGCTGCAAAAATACAGATGCAGAGGAGAGCAATGCATTCTCCACAGCATATGTAATTCCAAAACTACATCTCTGTGGCAAATATATGGCAAAAATATATACATCATCTCAAGTCTGTCCTTCTATTCATCCTGTGCCAAGAACACAGATAAAGACTCCAACTTCTTAGTACAAAAGGCCATAGTTACAGTCCCTAAGGGGAACAAGCACTGTTGGGACTACAGAAGAAAACATTGTGTTGGTGCTCCATATTGCCTTATCCAGGCTGCTCACCACAGGGAGATAAGGAACATTCATGTGACAGAGCTACCTCATAAAGCATGTGTTCTCTTACACACTCCCCCAGGAGAGGTTTGAAAAGATTTAAATTATTTATTTCATTTCCACTTAATGTGGAAACAAATAGAAAATTCCAGCAGCAACAGTGAACTACTACTAGAAATACCTAAAATAAAAAAAAAAGTCCCCACCTTTACAGTAGTGTGGGGTCCAGGAGTGTTGCTGCCTTGACTCATGGGGTCAGTGACTAGAGATGCATGAACCCAGAGCTTGGCAGGCACAGAGGCTGGGCAGGCTCCTGGAGATGTGTGCTCAGCACTGTCAGAACACCATCCTGGCACAGTGACCAGAAGCATAAGAAGTTACATTTAAATATATAACGAAGTGAATGCTGTCACTTTTGTCTCTAATAAATACACTGTCATTTGAACACACAAAATCTTTTACCTGACATGCATAACCCTGGGAAGATGATCTAATTTGCTATCTTTTTCCCTACTGGTGCTAGAAGAGCTGTTGAACTGGTTCTGCACAGATCAATGCTCTCAGCATGGGTCCTGAGCTGAGCTCTCTTATTTCAGATTGCAGGCTCCATTTGTTAAGTGCCACTGTACCCATTCTTTTTAAGCAGCTCCAGATAAACTATAGAAGTTTAATATTTCTTTTTTTTTTTTTTTTTTTGCCTTTGCAAAGCAGAGCACAGTCAAAACTGCATGACTATTTTAAGAGACAATGTGTTTTCCCAGTATCTTTCCACCACATACCGGCTAACAATTATGGTTAACTCAATGGTTACACTATTTCATGACTATCTGTCTAAAGACTCTTCAGAGTATGAGTTCAAGCAAACACCAAATTTTTAATGTCAGAAGAACTCAGGCAACTCTGTCTACCAGGTACATTTGTCACTTCTGAAGCTCAGCAGCCTCTCCATCCCACTCATCCCACACTGACACTCTGCAGAGAACGATCCGGGGATGAAGGAAAGGGCTCTCCTGGCACACAAAGGACTGGTGGTAATGTACCCTCCTTCCCTCCCTTCTCTCACACTCACTTCTCCTATTCGGATTACTAACTGCACGGCAGCTTCTGCAGAGCTGTGCCTTAGGATCATGTTTCAGGATGTAATTAGCTCACAAAGAAAAAGAATGAAGGCAAAGTGCTTTGATCATTTTATTTTCCATGCATAAGCTGCAGCTTACAGTCAAATCATTGCAGTAAAGGGACAAAAGAAACATTTTCCATGCCGAAACTTCCACAGAAAGGTTTGCTACTTACAGATGATAAGCTGTAAGGGCAGGAGTGGATTAAGAAAATAGGAATTTAAGGAAAACGTTCTAATTTTAATGTCTTTATGTGAAGGTTACATTTGCCAAAATGTAGGAAATATTATTATTTTAAATAAATCTACATTAAAGTCATACCACCTGGAAAGCAAATTCCTAAATGCATAAACCAGAACTGAATAAAATAGGGATTTTTTGTTTCTTTTCAAAACACTCCGTTTTCCTGTTCCTTACGCAACTGCAAGCACTGGAAGAGGATTTCCAGCTGTGCCTTGTCAGCCTACGGCCCCGAACTCATTGTGCTGCTTTTCATTTTACTGCTCCGAGCCCCAGTCTGAGCCGATGCTCTGCACACAGAACTCAGCAGCGTTTTGTCCCCAGGGAAAGAAGCTATTTCAGACTTAACTAAGGAATCATCTCACATGTTTCAACAATCCCTACTGTTTCTCTGTTTGTCTTAAAGATATCACTGTGATTTTGTTTCATTTGCAACTGGAGACTAAATGACACCAAGCAGAATCCGCTGTTAGGTTAGATTACAAGGTAAAATGTTTTACATTTTAAATTACTGCTTAAAGCATGGTGTTGAATGGCTTAAACTTCATGTTAACTTGGCAAATATGTATGAAATAATCTGAGCTGTATTTAGCAATACTGAACAGCAATGCTTTTTTTAGATAAGTATGCACTACCAGCTCCTCTGCTTTTTGTCCTGTGTGAATGTTTGCCGTGTACAACCAACTTAATGGGAAGTGCAATTTGTTTTGCTGGTACAGCTAAATGTAACTCATTTCTATGCAATAAATTTAAAGCAGTGTATGTGAAATATCTTTGTACATCACTTTAACCCCTGTGTGTCATGAGAAATAATGCTGACGTCTTAGAAACATGCTGAATTTAGGCTGAAGGATAGAGAGATTAATAAACTGATACTCTGGTATTTCTAAAGGGTCTCTCCTTTAAGAATTAACTATTTCCACTAGCTTAACAGCAAACTGACAGATACTGAACTTACTGAAGATAACATTTTGAAAGCTACAAACTACTGAACACATTACACGGTCAAAGTAAAGGTAATAAAGATGCTTTCACATACTGTGCCTGATCTAAACATTTATGGGTAAAATTGAAAAAGGTATAGCACTGCAGTCATGCTGAGAGTATCTGGCAACCCCAAATTAGAAAAATTTCATTATATTGGTTATCTGTAATTCTTTTTACTGTGTGATAATTTATTGCAAACTTCATCAGTCGAATAGGTTGAATTTTCCCCAGACTAAAGCAAGCTAGCCCTATACTGAATATAATTTCCTGACAGACAATCTGAGGGTCCCAGTCATGGGCAGGAAGGGCCCAATGCACTTAAGGCTCTTCACAATTTGGGCCTTAAAATGTGAGACAGCACTTATGAAATAAGCCAAGGAAAGAAACTCAGTAGCTCAGTATTTTGAATGCAAAGAACATCATTTGGTTGAAACTAGCAGTATTAAGCTTTTTGCATTGAAGAGTTAAATTGGTCTGAAAATATAGCACATAAACTTACATCTGTGAACAGGATTAGTTTACAAAGGCATATTTCTGGAAGGGTGTGGAGTATGTTTTCTGTTGGGCTTTTTTTGAGTTGTTTTTTTTTTTTTTTAAATTTTACTTATAAAGCAATTCATGAAAACAAGTTTCACTTGAAAATAATTTGATTTACTAGAGAACTTTATATTGAGTATAGCAATAACAGCAAAACATCATTTGTACAGAAAATGTAATGTAAGTCACCCTATATTATTCCTGAATTTTAAGGATACATGGAAAATGGAAAAGTATTTCAGTCATGCCATTATGTGCCTCTGGCCACAGGAAGCAATGGTTAAATGTTAGAAAAGCCCAAATGTAATGTAGCAGCATTGTAACTACATAGCTATGGTGTTATTATAAAGTATACTTACAAAAATGTGACCATAATTAAGATGTCACTAACTCAACAGAATGAATACACATGTCCAAGCCTTTGTACATTCAGTTTTCCCTGAGGGCTCTTTGTGTGTTTCAGTCAAACTGGTGGAACAGAAGTTTACTGTGTAATTTTATAGCCAGTCATTACCATGCAAGTAAGTCAGGAACCAAAATCATGAGGTCATTTCTTCTGCAAGCTGAGGTACTCAGAAATCAGCACTTTCTAAAAGAGAACAGGCATTTCAATGCAGAGACAAGGTGCTCCATCTATCTGATATACTAACCAACAGTGAGTTCTGCAAATAAAAGGCCAAGTGAAAGCCTACATGGCATTTTGGCATAACTGATTTCTGATAGGTAGAAAGCAGCAAACAGCAGTCTGGATTAATTTCAGACCCTGCCATCACACAAAGTGCTATGAGTGTGGGACACCTGCATCTCCCATTCTGTTTACATGGAAATAAAAACATTAGCTTAAAATTCTGCAATTGGATTTGCTATAATATTTAAAAATTAAAATAGTTGAACACAGAAATTGTAGTATTAAAAAGAAGTAAAGTGCATCCTGTTTTAAGCTTATTTACTGCCAACTTCCCATTTTAAAAAGTGGGAACGAGATAAATATAATAAATATGCTGTGGAAAGCGTGAAAAACATGCAACCAATCACACACCTGATGTTCAAGAATAGTTAGGGAACTTGTACAAAAAAGTATTATGTAAATCAGAAAACACCAAATGAACAAGATTTTTAACAAAATCTGATTCATGCAAAAACACAGTTCAAGTTCTTGACATAATACTATCCAATATTTATACAGTATAACTACAGTAAGACTAACTCCAAACTGAAAGATGACATAGGAAGCCAGGCTGATTAACATTAAGAAAAAGCATTTTTTAATCCCTTTACGGAAAAAACCATGGACATACTCTAAGCCTTGTCTTGGCCACAAAGACTAAGTGCTCTAAGACTCCAATTCTTCACTAATTCTCACCATCACAAGAACACAAGTGTCTTCTTTCTCTGTCGCCTCAGTTAAATTAGGCCAGAGGACGAAAGTGTTTCCTTTCTGAAAGAATTATGCAACAGAACTATGACACATCGTTCATAACCTTGGACATGCAGAGCCTTATTTCCACACTGGTATAGCATATCCACTGGTGGATGTGCTTCCTATGCATCCTCCTGCTCCTAATTGCTCTGTTTTGGAATGCCACCTATTGGTGAGACTAAATGACAGTTTTCTGTCACAAACACTAAGAAAGCTCAAGATATCCAGTTACTTCGAATTTCTGAAAATGTGAATGCAGAACACAACCATTATAGATCAGCCTTTTTAGACTACCCATGAGCAGATGTGGGAAGGCAGAAACTCTACTGTTGTGATCAAACTTCCAAGAGGTCTCCCCTGCTGCAGAAACACACAGATGCTGTTAGAGAAGAGGATGTATAGAAATGGAAGGAAAAGCAATATCTCTTCATCTATGGTGCAAAATACCTTGCACAGAAATGACAAACTGAATGCATTTGTGGCAGCACATGAGAAATGAATTGGGCATTTTTCTGTTACTCTGCCATTCCCATGCTCAGAAGTTACAACCACCAGGAAGAAATATTAGCAACCAAAAAAGGGAAGAAACACTTTACAGATCTCTCAAAGACTCCCTTGCTGAAAGCAGCAACAATTACTGAACGACAAATGCCTGGTGGCACTGCAAGTTTAACAACCTTTTTAAATGCAACCCCAAACTCAAAGCCAGCACTTATCTGAATTGACTATTGCCTCAAAGGGCAGAGAACTACTCAATCAAAATTGGTTACTTCAGCTCTCATAGGGAAATCTCTTTTCAAGAGTAAGTTTGGCTATATTGACCTACTATGTCTTGGTCCACCTGCTTTGAAAAGTGCCACATATGGCTGACATGGCCTCAAAAGCTCTCAAGATATCTAATTTTCCTCTTTTTTTCCCATTTCAGGATATTTTCTGGGACACACAAGACCATGCAGGCGACATCAGTAGTCTATTATTTCCTCCTTGTGTCTCTGTGCATCGATTTTTCTCAGAATGACACTGGTACACTTCTCAGAAGGCCAAAGAGAAGGATGCACAACAGAGGCCTGGGAAGGAGCTCCTCAGGAGGCCACAGGTCCAGAAGGCAGCCCAGGGTGAACCTTCCAGCTCCAGCTGCTCCCAGGATACCTCTCATTAACGTCGACGACAGTGTTATGGGAGTATTTGACTCTCTCATAGGTTTGGGGGAACATGAGTCTAGTTACAATGTCTTACCAGGTAAGAACAAAGTCCCTCTGCTGTTCAGGGTGGGCTGATTTTTCTCCTGATTTCAAATGAAATATATAAACTCGTTACAGTTTTATTTCAGCTCTACTTGCCACACATACCTTTGGCCTTTCACAATAATTCTGTGGGTAGCATATGAGACTTTTAAATTGAATCCTGCTTTGCCAGGGAACAGGAATATTTTCTGCATTATCACTTAATCTTAACCAATAAAAAAACTTGTTGGGATATTTTCATAACTTCAAATGTGTAGCAATTTTCAAGCCCATTTTGAATTTATTGCTCAATGTATCTCCCAAGTCAATGACCATTTCACTGAGGCCCTAACACCAAAACTGCTTTTGATAAGCAGAAATCAAACTATGTCCATAAGCAATATTTCAGGGATAATCCTTTACTTTGTAAAAATAACTTAATAACATACAGTAATAGTTGCAATATGAAACTTACATTACAAACAAGACCCTTATAATGGAAAGCTGAGCTAAGAGAGAAAACCCCACTCATTCAACACGAGATGACTCTTACATTCCTTCTGTATTGAGAACCCAGAGCTGCGTAACAGAAGTTCAATAGTATGGTTTATATAAAACTTGCCTTTTTGGAGACCTAGAGATTTTCACATTGCTGTACTAATATTTTATGGGTTTTGAAGGAGAGATAGGGAAGAGGATTTGATGTCTTAAGAAACAAACAAGCAAAAAGCCTCATGTCCTTGATCTTTATTGGAACCTCAGTGATTGTATCAGGCATCTCTCCATCTCCTCAAAGAGTACAAGACTAGACAAAGATCAAGAACTGATAGTTGTTAAGTGTGTCTTCGGTCCTTAGTGCAGGAAAAAGAGAACACTAGCTCTAGGATGCTTGTGATTTTATGTTCACTGTCACAATGGGAAGTTATGACTCATAAAGCAAGAAATGAGGATTCACAAGAGTCTAAAAATCAGCCAACCATTCTGAAGACATGAACTTCTGAATGCCACTACCAGTGTTTTTAATGTCGAAACCACAGTTATCAGCCAATTGACAATTACTGAGAAGTTTAACACTTCATTTCTTTTCATAGAAAGAGGTTTGAAGGGTGAAAAAGAGGCACTGGGATGTTGTGATGAATCCATACAAGTCATGTCCACTCTGTGGCTAATAAATATAAAGAGATTAGATACCTTCCAGTCCAGCACCAAGAGATCACATACTAAGCAAAATCATCATATGCAATTTAATTTTTTGTTTTTAAAAAAGAATGTTCTGATTACCACTATGGTACATAAAACAATAATAACCTGTTTTCATAAGCAAAAAATTAAGCCCCTCAGTGTGTCACACGAGAGACTTGATCACTGGGTTAATAAGTCTCAAATGGCTACACATATATTATTCTGAGTCTACTCTCAGAAAGGCTGAACCACTTCAAATCAAAAGTTTAAAGTAAGGGGTTTCAATAGAAAAACTAGCAAAACTCTTGTATATGGCATTTCCAGTGTATACTACTACACTATTACACATACCACTAACCTCAACCCTTTAATTTAAAAATATTTTTAAAATTAAACAGAGGAAAATACTGCAGAAGTAGCATACACTTCGTGTAAGATATTCCAGTGTGTCTGTCAGGCCCCAACAGTCATGCTGAAATAATGCATGGTTCTTCCCCCTCCCTGCCCCACTTGTTTCTTTCTATCTGGACTTGCATCCAAAAGCTGAGCTCAAACCACTGAACTCATTTTATTTGGAACTTCATGCTGAATTTACACCATATTTCCAAAGGTTAAAAGTCCTGTGCTCATCTGCCAAAGATTTCAACCACAAGGTATTTTTTTAGTCTAGCTTTTAAAGTTCAAAATTTTTTCAAGTTAATGTCAGATTTGGAAAAAACAGAGACTATTAAATAATAGAACACTATTATTAATCATGCTTCAGAATAGAACAAAATTCAATCCAAAACTTAATTTCCATTCTCCCAGCTACTTGTTTTGCTCTAAGCAGCCTAAAAAAACCCCAACAAATCACAGCTATATGCAGGATGAAAATGAACAGTTAAATGGACGTTTAACAGTAACCAGACAGATCTTCTTCCAGATAGAATTCATGTCAATATTGAAATTAAATCAAACAGATACCACAATTTAAGGTAATTTGCAGCTGTTTGTCTTTTACAGTCTGTCCATTAAGCAGAGCAGAATAGGATGCTCACTGTTGCAATACTTCTAGTATCCCTTGTTCCACACTTCTCCCTGCTCATACCACCATCCTGCACTTACTCAGTGGACAGGAGGCTTAAGGAGCATCTCAGTGAAGTCCTTATTCTGCCTCACAGGGGTTGTGTGGATCTCAACAGTGCCAAACAGCAGTTCTGTAGCACCCTAAAATGGAAACTCTTTGCCTCTGAGCACACACACTTACCCTGCCTGTTAAGTTCCTCTCATGCACAGGAAACAAGAGAATGTGTTAAAGAAGGCTGCAGAGGCCAAGGCCTGATAACTCATATCTTTTTGCTTATTCATAAAAGATTTGCACCAATTTCAGACACAGCCTAGTAGCTAAAACAAAATAAAGAATTTTAGGAAGCACAGAAGAATTTCCTTCTCAAGCCAGAAATGCTCCTCTGGAACAGCTGACATTTGATTGTTTAACATGAGAAACTGCAGTGTTCTTTCTGTATTTCCTTTGGAGATTATTTAAAAGAAATATTGTGGCTTCCTGGCAAGCACATAAGAAACAGAAGTTGGGAGCCAGCAAACAGCTGGGTTACAGATACCTGGGTAGAATGACAAGGGACTTGCAGCCAACTAACACTTGGCCTGGGCTCTCCTCCTTCAGTTAACATGGTTTGAGTTGATTAGAGCACAACTTTACTTGGCTGATATGATGCATACAGATCCCAGGCCTTGTAAAAAACAAGATGTAACTGCTAAAAACATTAATTTCTTACCTTTTCCATCCTAAGAGTAACTTAAATCAAAAGCATTTAAAAAAACATACGGAATATAGAAAAGCATCCAAAGAGGATGATTCTGATAATTAACATTAGTCTAGAAAACAGGTTCATATTCAATGATCTTTTAACAGAAGAGCAAAGAAAGACCTTTGTTACGAAGTTGACAGTAGGACTGCCTTGGAAGACTTTGCAAAATACCTAATTTTGAGACCAATATTAACTCCAGAGACATTTTAATCCAAATATTTATAATAGTCTTGTCAGAATATTTAGAGGCTATTCTGAATCCTCTTCTTAAAAGTGACCAACCCAGCACAGACCAGGGCGGAGTGTGGGAAAACAAACCCTGCAAACAATCCCTCAAAGACAATTTGTCTGTCACCAATGAAAGCCTCTTGGCATGTAAATTCAGATGAGATAAGAATTTTCCACTGTGTTAGACAACCTTCATCCAAAGAAGGAAGTCAGACAGAATAGAAAAATAGGAAATTTGTCATTTATATGCAGGGAAGTAACTTAGGAATGGGTTTTCAGCTTGAAACAACACTTCAGCAGTACATTCTTAGGTTAATCTAGTGAGGAGGTGTCTCTGCCCAGGGCAGGGGGTTGGGACTAGATGATCTGTAAGGTCCATTCCAACCCTTAAATTCTATGATAATCAGCACAAGGAAAGGAAGGTGTGTAGGGAGTTCAGATTCTCACCAGAATTAGAGGTACACTCACAAATAGGAAGATTTGTGTGGGATGAAGGGACCTCAGCCTTAGCTTTCCTTCTCTCAAAAGGCCAAAAAGAGAAGCATCATGCTAAAGTGCAATGTTTATACTGGAGTCCAGATGAGAACTGCCCAGGGAAATTTTTGCTGAGGTAGACTTCATCACTGGAAGGAAAGGGAAACTTGGATTAGTTTCCTTCCCAAGTCTTTATGCTCTCCAAACAACTTACATACAGAATATTTGAGTTGAGCTTACAAAACAGATCTCTACATTTCTTTCTGAAAATTTCAACTTGTATCCTGGGAAAATCTCAGGGTTTTGTAAATTCATATCCAGAAACTTTGGAGACAGAGTATTTATTAGCACAAGTTGTTCTTGCTTGCTACTTTCCTAGCAAAGAGGGTTTTTTCAGATAAAGCAAGGTACAGGAAAGAGGAGATGTTTGCCATCCCACCAGTCATCACGGAATGAACTTTACTTCCATCAAGCTTATGAACATTCACTATAACCTGAATATTGTTACTGTCCTGGTTCCACAAAGCCTTAACAAACCTTTATCACTTAATGTGCGAGATAGCAGAAAATATCTTTAGTGCACAACAAAGAAAGAGAGGGAGGTCTGGAAAAAATATTCAAGTTCTGCATGATTTATTTCAACTCCATTGTGATGAGGAAAACTTTTGCTTCTTTCTCAACTGTACTGTACTACAACTTTTGAGTCTGCACTTTCTATTTCTAAGGATGGAAAGAGGAGCTGCCATGCAAAAGTCCCTCAGAAACTCACCATCTAGATTTAATTTTCCCATTTTAGGAGTGTCTCTGAATTTGAATAATTCAAGAGGTTTTCCAGAGGACAAAGCTGGTAAGGGTTCTCATCAGCTGACTAGGAAGAGGGGGAAATGAGCTACTATGACACTGCCTGAAGGAGAGGAAGCAGAGAACCTGACCCCGTTCTGCAGTGTTCAGAGTGGAGCTGGGAGCAGGTAATAGCTGCACACACACTAACTGTGTGCCTGCCCTTGAGTGCCTTCAGAGCTGAGAGGCCAAACACCAAGCAGGGACTGCAGACTATCAATAAGTTGAACAACCTACGGCTATGAAAAGTAAGAAATAAGGATAAGATCCTTAGAACAGGGTGTATTTTACATATTTTCAAAATAAGAACTAAATAGCAGTGCTTCTTTCCAAAGTTTTAAATGAACACTGTTGGTTTACTTTCAATTGAAGCCCTTTAACTCCAATTTGTTTTCTGTTCTAGGCAAGAAGGGGCAGTGCACAGCTAATGGGATGATTATGTACGACAAAGCTGTTTGGTCTCCCAAGCCCTGTGTTACCTGTCTCTGTTCAAAAGGAGAAGTCATATGTGACACAAACATGTGCCACCCTTTGAAATGTCCCCAAACCATTATACCTGCAGGAGAATGCTGCCCAGTTTGTTCTGATACTGGTATGGTACTCCATATATTTTGACTATTTTAAACCTGTCTCATATAAAACTTAACAGAAATACTACTTTAAATGATATCAGGGATGACAATGTACACATTATCCAGAATTACATGATAAGAGAGGTCTTCATAATTCCCACTCAAGCTGATTTCAGCTTCTCAGAGCACACTGTCTGTTAGATAAGCATGATATAACATTCAAAGAAAAGATGCTAAATATGCAGCAGTAAAGAAAATTACATTTCTTTTTTTATTTTCCCCTTTCTGCTTCTTCCCTCACACCTTTACAAAATGTTGGTAAATGGAGCAACAGAACTTCAATCTTGCTTCCTCACAAAAACTTCAATAAAATCAGTACCTCTAGAAAGAATGCGATTTCCTTCCCTCACTCCCAATACCCTAAGCCTGCAAAGTACTGAACTCAACCTCCTCTTGCTGTAAGAATATTATTTAGCCTCCTGTGTGTGTATGTGACACACTGACATGCTCTGAGAAATCACAGGAATTAGCTGTAGGACTAGAAGTCCTGTTGATTGAAACAATTAAACTTCTATTAGAATTGCCCTATTATGCAAGTAAAAACTGCATTTTGGCAATGGAGTAGATGCATTTCCCCGGTGAGATCCACACCTGCAGTCATCTCACCTGACAGTCCCTTGCAGAGGAGAACAAGTCTTGACCTCTGTGAATTTTCTCCAAATTACCTACACATAACTTCCAGGCATATTACTTTTCTTCTTTAGACACCTCTATCAACAACTAATTAATTGATTAAAAATATCAGCACCTAATTAATATTGGGTCAAGAAGGAAGATAAGAAAGGTTATGTTAGTTTCCCCCCCTTTTTGCTGGAGGTGCAATGAATGCAACCTCTCCACAAACTGCTCTGTGTCATTTCCCAGTAAAGGACGTCTCTTCTGTCAAGTAATAGTATAAGACCTTATTTTCATTCTTTCAACCATATTCTGAGAATAATACTGTTCAGCAGCAATCATGTTTTTACTATATGTGAGAAACACTGTTTACTAAAGATTTAGTTTCTTACTAAACTCTTGTGTTGTTTTGTCCTTTTTGCTCTCATTGCCTCTGGTTAGTCTCCTCTTTGGATTCAACTATTATTTCACTGGATGACGTAAGTGAGCTGTCCGGTGATTCCCCAGAACCCAATGACCTTGCCAATGCCAATGTATTGCCATCAGCACCTTCTCAAACTGGAAAAGATGAACTGCTTCGAACAGAAGTGATAGAGATCAAAGAGGGTCATAAAAAGGATGAAAAGAAAAGAAAAAGGAAAGGCAAAAAAAATCGACAGAAGCACAAAGCCCATCGCAGAGCAAAGCAGCCTGTCAGGAGGAAGGAAGCTGCAGAAGAAGAAATGCAGTATGAAAGTGATGAAGATGATGGCACTTTGAGAATTCCACCTCGTTTCCCAATTCCTGTTCCACCTGTAGAAGCTCCTCCTTTGCCATCTGGATGTTCCACCTCGGCCACCACAGTAAGCTGCATTAATGCCAAACTTACACAAATACCACCAATCTCAGATCCAGATCTAACAAGTTTAGACCTTACAGGTAATTAATGGGTCTACTTTGCATGACTTTTGTAACGTTGTCCATTCTCAAATGCAGTCAACAGTGTTAATGCTTTGTCATTCCTTATCATAAGAGATGTATTAGCATGAATTTTATAGCTCTGAAACGATAAATTAAAATTTTTAGACTAGCTTACCAGTGTTTAAATACAAATATGAATATATTTACACACAATTATTGTGCATAATACAACTATTTTCTAACATATTTCCCCTGTACAATATTACACAGCTCAAATGCATGCTCTAATTCATAAGTCAAAATATTTCCTTGAATTCTGTCCAAGGAAACAGCATCACTACTATCTCGGATGAAGCATTCAATGGGATACCTAATTTGGAATGGATTGATTTGAGTAAGAACAATATCACCTCTCCTGGCATAGGTCCAAAAGCATTCAAAGTAAGAAAAGCTAACTTTTCTTTATGCTCTCACTGATTATTGTTCAAAGGACAGTTTTTGCTCTTCAGTTTATGGATGTAAACCAGTTTGCACCTAGTATGAGTAACCACTGTATAATTACAACACAGTTAAACCTGGGTACTTCAGGAAATCTCTCATCAGTCAAGAGTATCTAGAGATTTTTGAATTACATTCACCAAGTACTAAATGTGAATCAAGAGAGAGAGAGTTATCTGCTGTTTTATCAGTTGCAGTTGAGAGATTTCAGCCTTGAGGGGTTCATATTCCACTAACCACGCCTGGGATACTCAGGCTCAACAGATACAAATGTGTGCATCCTCTTTCTCATTACATTAATAGAAGATATTCAAGCACAGCTGCTTACTAAAAGAACAGCTTTCTCATAAAGTAGTCCAAATCTTTCTATATCCAGCCCTTTCCCTGCAAAGAGAATTTACACAGCAACAAGCTACTCAGGTGCACCTACATGTTCCTTGCTCAAAGACAGAACAGCCCATAGTTTCTCATACAAGCCATTATGTACAGGTAGTACTTCAAGTGTGGAAGTAAGACATTAAGGCCTTGTGTTTTCAGGCAAGATGAACATATGAACAACAAACTGAATTACCATAGTATGTTTCTAATTTTGTCTCCTGCCATATGCAATCATTCTTCTTGCAGGACTCTGTGTAACACCTCCCTCCATATAACATGAACAGGTCTGGCTGATTTCAAAGGTTTTCGGTTCCTGGAACCCCTATGAAATCAAAGGGCTTCAGTTCCTGGAACCCCTATGAAATCAAAGGGGGTGGAATGTGGCACTTAGTGCCATGGTCTAGTAACCACGGTAGGGCTGGACTCAATGATCTTTGAGGTCTCTTCCAACCAGGTTGATTCTGTGATTCTATGGGTGCAAACAACAGACCAGGAAGGCGTCCTAGGGGTAGGTGTATCTCAATGCTGCATAGTGTAGTGAGGCAGTACCTACACACGACTCAGACACAGCAGCGATGCAGTGATGCAGGAAGGCCATGGGGAAGCTGATGTGCTCAGTCAAGCACTTCCAGTTACACATGACATTAACTGGCACATTTGTTAACACTTAGCAGGAAGAAACCAATTAATTAGCCTGATAGGACAAAAAATTATTTCTTTATTCAAAACACCTGATGCTACTGCACTGCTGCTGAAAATCTTGAAAAGAGTGTGTTTATGTTTACATTATATATTTAACTACATATTTTGCACCTTGATAATCTAAGTTCTCTTCTTCATCCCTATGATCAAGATCCTGAAAAGGCTAAAGCGTTTGTATTTGGATGGAAATATGCTTGTACGTGTTCCCTCTGAATTGCCATCGACTTTGGAAGAAATAAAAATAAATGACAACCACCTTCATGCCATTGACGAGGATGGCTTAAAAGGTATTTAGAAAAGTGATATGAATCACATGAAAACATAAAGATAACTTCAAAAAACAACATTCAACCAAATACAGCTGGTTTGGTATAACCAGAAAAATAACTAGTTTTTAAGGGCCATGTTTTCAAAAGGCACCAAAACCTGAAAGATTTGCATGATGAATTCTTTTTTAAAAATTACATTTTCTTCTTATTCAACTGCTACTATCCCAAAGAAGCTTATACTTAAGGCTACTAAGTAGAGATGGTTTTGAAGTATGTTGAAGATATCTGCTATCCTGACCTGTAACCTGAGGGCTTTATGTGTGGTGAAACTATATAAATTACTTTCAAATTGCATGAAAGGGAACAGAATCTGATGTGCATGGAAAAATAAGGTAGAATATAATTGGAGTTAATCATGATCACCTTAAGCCAAGTTAAACATGGGGTGATAGGGGAAAAAAAAAGAAGGAAAACAGACAGGGCACTCTCCATGTCATCATGTGACAGATTTTTTTTGTACCTTTTCCTCTCCTGTCAAAAGGGTCCCACCTAAACTGGATCAGTTTAGTGATGTAGCTCATTCTGGAGCAATATAAAGACAAAGAAAACTTAGGCTAAGAGCTGCAGGAGCCTTTTAGCTTAAAATCACCAAACTGCCCTGTTGGGAGGAGAAGTGACACAACGCTACTGGGAAGAAAAGTTATTTGGATTATTTGTGAATGAGAAACTTACTATTATGAAATAATATTTCCTGCTTACATACACTGATGAACACTGGTCTCTCCTGTGACCTCTGAGGAGGAGGAACAGGACAATCCACTGAGGGTTCTCAGCACGGTGCAGGGGGAGGTTGAAAGGAGGCAGCAAGGAGGGAAGATATGAGCCCAAGGGAAGAGTAACATTCCCATTATCATGTCGGTGACTGGAGAGCTGGGGAGGGAAGATACGAGCCCAAGGGAAGAGTAACATTCTCATTATCATGTCGGTGACTGGAGAGCTGGGGGATGGACCACTGGGCAGCTGCACGAAGACAGCACCTGCACAGGGCTGTACACAGTCACGAAGTAACCGGGCCTCGACCGCTGCACTGCCCAAGCGCTACAGCTGCCGCCCCGTCCGTTCTGGGTGGGAGAGGAACTATAAATAAAGCTGTAGTCAAGTTTGAAATCTCTACAGACTTATAAACAATACAATTCTATGATCATGAGATAATGAAATACTTTCACTCTATTTTTTTTGTTGCTGTGAGCTGATCTGAGTAAAGTTGAAGACTGTTAAATTACAAACGTGCATTTTAACAAGATGTAAGATGGCATTAACTAACAGAAACTCCAACTTTTCCTCCCCAGATTTAAAGAACCTGGTCACCCTGGAATTAGAAGGAAATAAACTGAGTGAAGCAAATGTCAGTCCTTTGGCCTTTTATCCTTTGAAAAGTCTCTCTTATTTGCGACTGGGAAGAAATAAATTTAGAATTATCCCACAAGGTCTTCCTGCCACTCTGGAGGTAAAAAGAAAACAAAACCACAAAAAACCCAAGACAAAACAAAACCCAAAACAAAACAAAACAACAAAACCCCATACCAAACCAAAAACCAGCAAAAAAACCTCATCCTCCCCAAAAAAGATACAATTCTTCTTCTATTTGACCTTTCAAAGCAATCTGTACTGTCACAGATGAGAATGAAGTGGTCACAGCCCTAGGCCTGACAGAGTTAAAGTAGCATTTGGTCAATGCTCTCAGGCACAGGGTGTGATTCTCAGGGATGGGTTTTTAGACCCTGGTCCTGCAAATTCAACTATATAAGATCATAACATAAGAAAATTCTTCCGACTCCACTTATTCGGTGATTCTGTGAATGGCTTTGAAAGATTGTGTTTCTGAAGGTCCCACTCCAGCTACAAACTGAGTCTGGGTCAGATTCAGAAGCTAACAGATGTACCGAGGAATATGGAGAACAGATAATAGCTGCATTTTGAATTTGCAATGGGAAAACCCAGCATATTTTGATCTCTCAAATTTTCTTCCCAAATGCACTTACAGGAGTTATATCTCGAAAATAATCAAATTGAAGAAGTGTCAGAAATTTGCTTTAACCACACAAGAAACATCAATGTCATTGGGCTAAAGCATAACAAACTGGAAGAGCACAGGATAGCACCTTTGGCTTGGATAAACCAGGAGTAAGTACCAATCATTTAAAGTACATTTATTTCATTTTTCTCTGCTTAGAGTTGTAATTATCCTTTGATTTGTTTTACTTAGCTAATTTGTCTTAACTTCCGTTGCCTAATTGTATCATCTAGAATGTATTCAGTCAGCTGTCAAATAAAAAGATCTTTTACCTCAGATCTGTACTATATTAAGACAAAAGTCAATATTTTTTCTGACCATCCATTCAAAAAAGAACATTAATTATAAATAATACTCTCTACAATTATATCATACTTGGTATTGATACATAATTATCTCCTGGCTAATTTTAAAGTAATTTAAGGCTGTCCTAGCCTTATTTCCCATTAGATTAAAAATTATAAAAGTAAACAAGATGAAGGGAAGACTGTGCAGCTGCACTAAGAGCAGAATATAAGCAAGCAATGAGAATGTAAGGAGTACAAGACAGTACAGCTTTGGACTCTCTTGGAAAATAATTTCTAAGCTCTGCAGAGTACCTGGCCATCACCTGGCAGCTGCAGCCCTGGCAGCCAATGCCTGGGTTTGTAAACTGCTTCAACTGAAAACAACCACATTGTCACTACTACCAGCAGCTCTCAGCCCTGGAAATGAAGCACATGGGAATGATTCATTCCCAAACAATTCCATTTCCAATGGGCTTTAGAACAAAGTTTGAGAGTCTGTGTTAATGGCGTAATGACTGAAGTCCCAAGCTTATTAGTTCCTCAGTGTAACTCTAGTTACTGCAATTCAGAAATGCAGCAATCACTAATTAGTCCCTTGGGTTTCCCTCACTCAGGACTCATTACGGAACATCTCCTCCCATCAGTAAAATCATTGTGCTTGATTGATAATTCATGACTTCCATTCTTTCCACTCCCGGAGTAATTATGCATGACCATGTTCCATAAAATGCATTCTGTTCCATTAACAGAAACAAATGTCCCTTGGAAATTCAGTTTCCTTCTAATCCCATTATGCAGGACTGTACACAGAGCTCAGCATTACCAGTGAAGTAAGTCTCAGGTTTTTCAGCCTTGTCTTTTTCTCCTTTAATGCAGGAACTTGGAATCAATTGATCTCTCCTATAATAAGTTGTATCATGTTCCCTCCTATCTGCCAAAATCTTTACTACATCTGGTGCTCATAGGAAATCAGATTGAAAGAATTCCAGGCTATGTGTTTGGCCACATGAAGCCAGGGCTGGAGTACCTCTACCTGTCCTTTAACAAACTGAGCGATGATGGCATAGATCCTGTATCATTTTTTGGAGCATACCACTCCCTGAGAGAGTTGTTCTTGGATCACAATGAACTAAAGGCTGTACCATTTGGGATTGATGAAATGAGAAAACTACGTTTTCTAAGACTGAACAACAATAAAATAAGGTAATTTCCAAGCTCTTTGTTACACTGATGGCATTAAAATAAATGCTGTAAGATGCTTTACTTTAGGAACTTGTTACTTTTAAACAAGTATTTTTGCAAAAAATTCTGAAGGGGGAGTTAAATCCTGAGTTTTCTACTGCAGCATTTATGCATATGATAAAAGTGAGATTTCACCCTCCCTCATAGTTCTTGAAAATGCTCCCAAAGATGTGGCACACTAGTTCTCTCCAACAAATAAATGTGCAATAGTGCTTGGGCCACACATCTGCTGGGGCAGCACAGTCTGAGAGGCACAGCAAAGCACCAGGCCCAAACAGATTACAAAGTCACTGGAAGGGTCCCCAGCTGCTGCTGTCCACTGAGAGTGGTCTGTGAGCAGGTCTCAGGCAGCCCCAGCTGTGGAGCCAGATGTGCTCTCCAGTCCCTCTGTGCTTTTGGCAAAGCAAAGGAATAACAGACAGAGGATCTTCCACATGTTATACAGAAAGTTTTCATTCAGCAGCACGTGGCAATACTTCCCTCAGGAAAACTAAGTATATGATATATGACATGATACAGTACACATAATGAGAAAACAATGCAAGGAGAGAATGTTGGAAAGAATGATTAGTAAAAGTCCTCAATAAATACATCATTGAGAAAATTTAATGTACTGATTAAGTTACTATTTTTAAATACCTAAATAAATAGCAACTCTAAAATAAACTATGAAGTTCTGAGCTATCTTGAATAACTAACATGTAATTCCTCCCACCATGCCACAGGACAGTCCCCCCTGAACGCATCTGCAGGACTCGGATTAGCCATGACAATCATGACACCAGTGAAGAGGAGGAGAATGAAGATTCACGTTTGGAGCATGTTCATCTTGAAAACAACTATATCAATACCAGACAGCTCTCACCACATTCATTTTCATGCATACGATCCTACTGCAGCGTTGTTCTTAAACCACAGAAGAAGACCAAATAAACACCCAACTTCTGTATCGCAACCCCCATCTCTAGACACATAGCTTTATTTATTCTCTGCTACAAACACATCTGCTTATTTCTGATCTAAACCCTTCTTGCTGCTATAAATAAGACCAATAGATTCCATTCATTTGTACAATAGTTAGCTTGCTAGATTTTATACTGCATGGGATCAAGATCACGTTGCCCATTTAGGGGACTAATTAAACTTTCTCAAAACTTTAAAATATGCAGTTAGTAGTTATTTGAAAGCTTCTAGATGGTCATACATCATCACCCCAGAGACAATGTTGATAAAGCAGGTTGAGTAATACCTTCAATATGAGTTTCTGCTTAGGTATAAAAGAGCAAGTGTTTACAAACATACCTCTGTTTTCCTAGAAAGGAGTTCAAGCTCTTGAAGATTTTGTTAATGTCTCAGTTCAAAGAAAACAAGCTTTTGTAATATTCCACTTGAGATTTAAAAATTATATTCTTTCTCTGAAGCAGCCAAAATTTTGATAAAAAGTAGTTAACATTTTCATTTTAAAGAACACTTTCAATAAAAACGGAAAGCGATTATACCATTTTTCGTATTTCTTGCATTCTAAGCCCTTCCCATTAAGAGCAGGCTGGTGGTAGGAAGTGGTTATAGATGACTGGCCAGTCATTATTCTTCACCCAATTACTTCCCACTTTCTCCTGGGGTATTCTGTGAGGCATTAAAAAAAGCCCACTCTGTTTTCCTCATTC